ATACTTATTTACTTGGAGCAAAGAGCTAACTACTTTTTTTTTTGTCTTTTATTTGACTCTTTGCTCTAAATTTAACTCATCGTTTGATTGAGAACCATGTGATCTAACACCTATCGAACTTGACTCATGAAACTAAGTGATAAGTATTGCATATTTTTTTTTAGTTTTTAGTTTTATTTTTATTTTTTTTTAAGCATTTATTAATTCAGGTTTTCTTCGATCATAGCATCATGTACAAACTCTTGCTATAGAGCTGATTCTAACTATGAAATTATTATTATTATTATTTTTATTATATCATATTTATTTTTTATTTTTATTTTTTTTAATAAGCTAATAAATATTTTTATTTTTATATCTTTATTATCTCTACTGATAATTTTTTAATTTTTATTAATATACTTTAGGTTCGTTCAAAAAATGATCAAACTACTAGAACCATTTGAGACTATAACATGACGATTGTCAGATGCCACATATCCAACTTTAAATATAGTTCATCTATATATATACATATTAAAACAAATGTTTGCACCAAGAGTTGAAAATGATGAAACAATTGATAGCTATTTAGATATAATCTATGGGCCTTTAATAGTAGAAAATAGTTTGGAAAATATTGATAATAGTAGTGATTCAAGTTCTACTAGTGATAATGATGATATTCCAACTGCAGGAAATCGACGACATTGGCGACATGTATCTCAACAATTTAAACAGCAGATGAAAAATACATATAGCAGAAGTCGAGGTCAGGGTCGAGGTTGAGGTTTGGTTCATGGTCATGGTTATAGATGCATATCTAATCAGGATGTAAGTAAAAATTTTAATCAAATTGAATACCTACCACCAGTTAATACTAAAAATCTCATCCAAAAAGTTCGAGCTGCTATCTATCTTTCTTTAGATAAATTATGGGAATCACCTAATGAAAGTTCTTTAATAGCAATGATATTAGATCCTAGAATGAAAAATTTTTCATTTATAAATGGATCAGAACATGCAGAACAAAGAACACAGACTGAACATCTTTTAAGAAATTTATATACTCAACTTAAGCAAGGCTTAGTAAATGAAAATTTTGAAGAGCCAATTTTGACAACAGACTTGGCCAACAATGCTGAAGATGTATTTTCAAGAATGTGAGCTAATAATCAAATACAAACACAAGACGAAATTACTCGTTATTTATGGTATCGTGAAGAACCAAAAAATGTTGATCCTTTAATTTGGTGGCGAGAGCATCAAAGAAGCTACCCTATTCTATCACAGATTGCATATAAATATCTTTCGATCCTGCTACATCAGTTCTCAGTGAAAGACTCTTCTCTGACACTGGAAATAATATTTTGGCAAAAAGAACTTGATTAGCACCTAATTTAGTTAATCGAATTTTGTTTTTAAAGCGAAATAGCATATACTTCCCTATGTTTCTATCTTTGGAAAATGACAAATAATTTTTTTTTTTTTTTTTTTTTTTAGTATTCTATTTAATCTATTTTAATTAATTATTTCTTTTTTATGCAAGTAGCAACAGTCTAGAATGCAAAAATGTGACAAATGGTTTCAACCAGTTGTAAATGTCCAAATATTTTTTAATAAGAACTATGAAAGAATTCTAAACCAAGATTATAATAAAGATATATAATAAGTTTTTTTTTACATATTCTAGGATATCATTTCGCAAGTGAAAAAAATGTCAATACTTATGATACAAAAGAGTCAAGCCTAGAGCTTCCAAAAGTACTATAAATAAAATAAAATAAAATAAAAATGACTAAGTTGTGTACATTAGTTAAATCAAAAATTAAATATTTTGTAAGATTAACCATATTTGGTTAATCGTTATGTTCTATATGACCAATCATGAAGTAGGCGCACATCTATGCAGATGCAACTGGATATTTAGTAATAAAATCAGATTTAAATCCAATACAGACTTTTACTAATTAAATAAATCCGGATTTAAAAATTGAATCTGGTTCCAAACTTTAGCTATATGGTAGTTTTGAAATTATTATATTGTTTATATACAGAAGAGTACTATATTATTTTAGACATTTTTTAAATATTTATAACAAGTTAATTAAAAAATATATTAAGTTAAAAATAATATATTATATTTACTAAATCTAAAACTTTTAAATAAAAAAAATTTATAAAATTTTATATAATAGTTTTTGAGATAATTTAAATTAAAAAAAAATTAAAAAATGTTATAGAGAATATTTTACTAGTTTTTAGACTATTTTTATATTTAATAATAAATTTAAATTTAAATTTTTAAAAATTTAATAATTCTATTAAAATAATTTTAATACTATTAAATCTATAAAACAATACAATTCTAATAATACCAAAATTATTAAAATCTAATTATTATTATTTTTTTTTTTTGCTTTTCGCTAAGGCCTTTTAGTTATGGCAGCTACTGCCTTTATTGTGAATTCAATTATGATTACATAACTTGTACAAGGTTACTCCTATACTACACTAGCAAATAGTAGCACAAGCTCCCATACACCTAATTAGATGCTATCTAACTTAACCTTGACCTCCCTGTCTGTATGTCTGTCAGGCTATTACACATTTCAGAGTATCTTACCTGACTATAGGGCTCCAGGGGGCCTCCTGCTAACTAACTACTCATATTTAATCTTTGCTAATAGGGCTCACCCTTGCAGAGTTCACCCAGACCCCAGCACTAACTTCATAGCATATCTCTAGTACTTTTAGTATATCATTGTTTTCGACCTCAGACTCCTAATCCAGATAGTCTAGTAGGACTGTAACCTGTCTCTGATACCCCAGAGTCTGCCTCTCAAGGTCTTTTTTCTTTGGTTTAAGACTTCTGATAGTCTAGTTAGTAGTACTCCTTACATGAGGTTCTTGCCCACCTGATTCTTTCCATATTGGTATCTGTTTCCTAGGTCTAGCCTTTACAGTAGTACTGTCAAAAATCCATGTTATCTCTCTACTCAGATCTTTCCAAGTAAGCTTCAGTTATCTCAATTTACAGATTTACATGGCTACAGATGCCCTATAACCTGTCAGTTATCTGATGTGACCATGTTACAGATACTGATCTCAACTAATCAATAGATAGCCATTGCTGTATTATCGGTTTTAATGATTTATCTTGTGTTTGCACCACCCAATGCTGATTTGCATTCCTTTGTATAACTCTAGCATTGCACAGATGTCTGTATACACTAATGTAACATAGGTAGTTTTTCAAATTTTCGCTATTAGTAAGGTTTGAACTTCCAACTTACTACTTGGAGGTTGACAACTTATTCACTTCACTAAGTCACCACACCTTATTAGATAAATACTAATACTTATAATTTTATAAATTTAAATAGTTAATTTTATTAAAATTTTATTAGTAATTTTAAAACAATTAAAATTTTTATTACTATTAGATTATTTATAATTTTATATTTTTTATTTTTAATAATATTTAATGCCTTATATATAAAAATATAATAAGATATTTATTTAATAACATCTTTCACAAAAAAAGTTTTAAGTATTAAACAACATCTGCAATTACTTTATATCAAGCTTACTTTCAACTTATTGTTTAAAAATTGAAATGCATAACTTTAATTTTAAATTAAAACATTTAGTTTTTTTGTTGCAAATATTTTTTCCTTTATATATTATAATATTTTTTTGCTCTTTTTCAGATATGTCAGATAATAATTCTTTAGTAGCCAAACAACTTTAGTATTATTCAAAAAAATAGTAACAAGATTATTTTGTTAGCTTATAATATATGTAATTTTCAAAACTTATTGTTAATAAAATATAAATTTTTTATTTAATAAAAATAACTTTTTTTTGTTTTTAGCAAATAAACAATATTATTAAAAACAATTAATTTTTTATATTGCTTTATTTACAATTTATCTAACAATCTTATAACTACAACTTTAGTATTTAAATAAAAAATCTTTATATATAACTAAATAATGCAAAAAAATATAATATTTTAAATATTAAAATTTTTTGTATTTACAAATAAATTAATATTAATAAACAAGAGACAGAGTTAAATATTCATAAACTTAAATAGTTTATTTAAAAAATAAATATAATTTTTATATTTAACTAAATTAATATAAATAAACAAATAGTATTTAGAATAACTTCTAAAAATTATTAGTGCTTTTTTTAAAAAAAATATATATATATATATCTAATTCTAAGTTTTTGGATTTTTTTTTAAATTTCTAACATAAGTATTTGTATTTTAAGTTTATTGATAATAATTTTTTAATATTAAATAAATAGTTTGATCTTAATTATATATAATTTTAGCAATATAACTAACATGTTTTGTTTAAATAATATTTTTGTAAATTTAATATAATAAAAATTCTCAAAATAAAAATAAATGTTAAAACAAAAATTAAAACAAAAGTTATAATAAAAGTCAAAATCAAAATTAACTAAAAGTCAAAGTAAAAAAAATTCAAAATTAAAATAAAAATCAAAAAACCAATGATTTCAAATAACAATTAAATTCAAAGTAAAAACAAAATTTATAAAATTAAGATAAATACTATTTTATTAACAATTAGTTTTTTAAGGTTATATGCAAGTTAGCAAAAAATCTGGCTACTATTTTTTCTAAACAATATTATGTAAGATTTAATAACTATCATTAACTTATTGATAAACTTGAAATATTAATTTTTTTAAAAAAAATTATACATAAAATAGATTTAAGCAATATAGATACTATTAATATATTAGTACTAATATTTAATATTTATAAAAAGCTTTTATTTTCTTCTATATTTTTGTTTAAAAAAAACATTTGGTTAAACATTATAAAATTTTACAGTTATAAAAAAAAACTAATTTAAATCTATTTAAGATTAGATATAAAACAACAAATTTTAAAATTCTTATTATAATATATTAGTAGATATATATTTATAAATTTAATTTATAATATTATAAATTAAAATGTATTTGAAGCCTGTAATATTTTCTTCTTAAATATCTTTTTTATACAAATAAAAGTTAACTATTTGTTTATTGAAGAGTATTTTTAAAACTTAAATATATAGTTTTTATTAACTACTATAAAGTTAAGTTCTTTAATTATATTTAACAAACTATAGCTATTTACAAAACTTAAAAATCTATTTTGAGAAGTTAAAATATTATAAATATTAATTTTAGTTGTAGTTTATATATTTTTCTTATACATAATTGTGTATAAACTAAAAATTAATTTTTATATATATATATTTGTAAGTTCTAGATTTTATAATTATACTTTAAAATATAGAAATATAGCTAAAAACTACTTGTAGAAATTTTATATTTGTTTTTTTTGATTCTGTTATTCTTATTAATAGAATTTTCTTTTTTATTAGATTATTTTTATTTTTGTAATATAAAAAAAATATAAGATATTTAATTTTTATATAATAGCAAAAAGCTTTTATTAAGAAACTTAATTAAAAAGCTTATAGCAAAAAAATATATACATATCACAGAAGCTTAATATTTAAAATATACTTCTTCTTTTAATAATCTGAAAGATATACAAGATATAGTATACTATTATGCTTATATATAAAATACTAAGTTTTAGATTTAAAAATCCTTTTTTAAAACTAAGACTTTATTATATATAATAATTTTTAGTTCAAACTTATTTATTAAAACATCTAAATTATACTAAAAAATATTATGTAATTTTTTTGTCTTATTTGAATATTTATTAATATAAAAATTTTTCTGTATGATTAATTTTTATTTTTTATATGGTCTTTTTCAATATAAATAAATATATTTAATAATTTTTAGTAACATTGTATTAAAAAATATGTTTAAGAAAGAAGATAAAGTTTTAAAAATATTTTATTAAAAAATATATTTAGAATATTTTATAATTATAAAATATAAAAAATTTAAATTATATATAAGAACAAAATTATTTAAAAATAAATAAATTTATAAAAAATATAAATATATAAATTAGATTTGTTTTTTTTATAAAAAATTGTAATTTTTTCTAGTAAAGATGAGATAAGTTTTTTTTAAAAATCTATTTTTATGATATATATAATTTAAACTACAAAATAGCTTTTTTGATATATTTTTTTATTTTTAAGAATATA